TGGCGGCAGCCTCGGGGCCAGCCCGCCCCGGGGAACCGGGGCCAAGGGTGAAGCCCTTGTGTAGGCCCTGGCGTCACATACTTGGATCTCAACGTGAAGGAAGTGTAAATGTGACGGGACTCCTCCAGTTTCTGGAAAGTCTTTCTGCTTGACCTTCACACCAATTCTTCAGCGAGGCAAGCAGAAGTGAATGGGAGGCCAGGGCAAGAGTGGGCCTGGCAGCCTTAAGTTTTTCTTTTCTATACTTCATCAGGGCTATTTTTAGGGGAGAGATTTCATTCCTTTTTCCAGGAGCAGAAGTGACTGGCTCTATTCATTTCCTCCTTCCATCTGGCCACTTTTGAGAGCTAGGCCATACAGCAGAAAGACAAAAACCACAATGCACGTTGACAGCTGAAAAGGATGACATAAAGCATATACACTGATAATCCACCACATCCATCTGTCCAGAATTTCAGAGCTCTTGGCCCGCAGTTAAGTCTCATTCTCCTCCCATGATGGAAAATGACGGTAACAATATTCACCCATGTGGAAATGGAGACATACAGATAGCCAGTATTTTGCTCACAGCTGTACACTGCATCACTATAGCAGGATAGTATTTATAGCTAGAACCTTTTTCTGCAATGAATACATTTGAATGTGGATGTGTGGGGAAAAGAAAGATGTAAAAGTCAAATCTGAAAAAGTTAGCTCTCACAGCATCCTAGTAGCATTGTAATCGTTTAGATAGAAAGAAAAGGGTAAAAGCTCAGTATTTGAGTGAAAATTAAATTTAATGAATATTAAAAGATTATTAGATCGGTGCTCTAAACTGACTGGCCCATTAGGACTGTTTCTGCCTCCTAAGTCATTTCAGGCTAGAACATCTTATGGCTTAATTTGGAGCAAAATAAGGAATGTTTGATTAACACTGAACAGGCAAGCTCATCTACTATTCCATTGCATGCTGACCTTAATGTAGATGTTTCTTCATATAGTATGTTCAGTTGATGAGAATAGGATCTTTGCCTCTCAATCTGGATTTTGAAAGCTATGAGCAAAGTAGACTGATTTTTTTTTGTCCTTAGCATTTTTATTCCTCTGGCAAAAGTATCCTATTATGGAGGAATATTTGGATTTCAAATCTTCCAAGTACTTAAGTATCAAGGCCTTGGGCAGGTGTGACTTAAGAGTATAGTTAGAATTTGGCTTCAGATATTCAAATGTTTATGTGCTAGATCCACCATGGTTTCCTATTTCCCTCCTCCTTTCATAAGCTAGTGTTTTTATTTCTTTGGGGATTTTTAATTTTGGGGGGGATTTTTTTTCAAATTTTCCTTTGTATTTTCCTCCTACTGTCTTTACTTGTACTAGCACTTAATATGGGCAATGAAGATAAGGAGATAAAATGAGATTCTGCTAAGACAAAGCTGAAAATTACCTTCTTTCTATTTACCATCACCTTTCTTGTCTTTATATTTCTGAAATTACCATTCTTTACTTGAAACATATATGTAATGTCTCCTCATGGTCTGCACCACGTTTTGGGACCACATTCTAAAAACATTACCAAATGCAAAATCACAGCAGACTAAACTTTAGCACGTGGTCATTCCAATGATTTTCAGAGGGAGAGACACCCTAGAGCAATAGTTCACAGGGGCACTTCTGCTTCTCCTCTAGCCTTTTTTCCCCCCATGAGTACATCAGCAACCCTCAGCTGTTACGCGGGGTTAGTTTTAGGACCCTCCTCTTCTTGTCATGGGGTTTTAAGCTGCTCAGAAGATGTGCAAGGCCCAGCAGTGCAAAAGGGCAGTGGTGAGGTCAGTGGGTGGGTAGGTAAGTAGATCTCAAATGTGTTGCACAAGGCTCTGATTATGAAGAATGTTTTTCTAATCATTTGTTCCCTGCTGGAAACCTGCAGGTTTCAGTCCCTGAGGCATTCTTTGGCAGCCAGAGAATTTATTCTGGCAGTAATTGTTTAGCTGGATCTTTTGTTCTTTTGGATCCAATACAGACCATTCAAGGAGGGAGTATGCAGCTATAGCATTCTCTACCCACTGAGAACATAGTTGTTTATGAAGTTTTCTGCTTTAACAGCAGCCATAAAAAAATCTGGATGGTATAACATCCTGATGAAAACCTTTCCTGACAATAGCATCTCAGTAGATCTCTGCACATCATTATCATGCAGCTATCTGGACCCCCACCAAGTATTTCACCAAATGCCCAAACCCTCCTCAGTTAGGAGAAATATTTAAAGCTCCAGCTTTCATTTGGGGCCAACAACTTCTCAACAGGACTTGAGAATTTGACCTGGGAGGCAAAACACAACATGTGGAACTTGAGGTTTATACCTTATAGTAATAATCTGCCCAAAGTCCAGGTCATAATTGTTTACTTGCGCGATGAAGATGGCTGCCACCGCTTCGTAGAGCGCAGTCCCATCCATGTTGATGGTGGCCCCCACAGGCAGCACAAACCTCGCAATCCTCCTGTCCACGTGGTTGTTCTCCAACAAGCACTTGAAAGTGATAGGCAGGGTGGCTGAACTGCAAAAAGTACAAAGAGAAACAGGCTGAAATTATTTTTATCTCTTCCAGTCTTCTTCCATTAATGAAGACAAGTTATTGAACATTTTCTGGTTGTAAATTCCCTCCTTTTCAATGAGATGCATGTATTTTTAAATAGTAATATTCTTGAACATGTTTATCTTCATTCTATACTTTATTGGTCTTCTGTTTTTGGGGCATTCTTCATTTTACTGTTCAGTGTCACACTCACTTACATGTCATGAGCAACTAAACTATATTCAAGTGAGTGAAGGGATTTTTTTATCACTTCTAAAA